TTGCTAAGACTGATGAAGGCGTGGTTCCTGTAGAAAAATAGTAAGAGACTGGGAACTGAAATTTAGAACCACAATGAAAAACAATATAAATAAAAAGAAAAATTAACCAACCTTGACCTTCTTGTTTCTGAGCAGAACAACGAAAAAAATAAGTGCGTGATCCGCCAATTCTTTGGTGGTCTCCTCTCCTGGCCCATAATCGCTAAATCCTTGAAATTTTTTCCACTTTGAGGACCACATCAAAAACTCATCAATGGATAATTCATCCCACAAGAGAACTGCGTAACAGTCCCTTTCATCCTCTAAATCTGATGTAAAATCTCCAACACCCTCCAATATAGGCTCAATTATTCCTGGTTCGATGCTTAGCCCTTGCGTGAAACGAAGAAGAGTTTTTTTTGATGGAAGAATGAACATGTCACTGACAGCCGCTCTTGCTCTTCGTCCCCCTTTCTGAAGACCCATGGTGAGTATAAGGTCTTGTCGATCATATCTTCGACCTTGTGGCTTCACCTATTGAGATTAAGTTATTATTTCATTAAAACATCATTATTATATGAAATCTTACTTTCTGAAGCTTGATTTGTCGATCAATAAAATCGACGCATTTTGTAGGCAGGTGTTTTCGTAAATAGAGTATGGCAGCTTCCTTCGAAGCAGGGTTGGTGGCTTTTCTTTTAAGCCTCATCTTTTTCAACCTCTTGACCTCTTTGTTCTTCTTCTTTGCAAATGCAATCAAACTCTTTCTGTCAAGCTTTTCAAATAGTGTTTTCTTGGCTGGAAAAAGAAAAGATAATATTTAATAAAGCGTATGGTCCTCCGTAATTTTTTTTTTTTTTAATATCTTTTTATGTTACATGGATTTGCTGGTAGTTGTTTTTGACGTGGAGGTTGCTGTTCTTGTGCATGACGTGGTGGTGATGGTGATTCTTGTTGAGGTGATGCTACTTGTGGTTGTTGAGGCGGTGATAGAGGCGGTTGTGTTGGAGTTTGCTCGTTCTCAGATGCTGCTACCTGTTGTTCATGTGGTGGCTGTGGTTGCTGCAGGGTAGCGGTTACTTGCGGCAAAGTCCGAGGTGGGTACGCATGTCCGGATCGTGGTGGAGGTGGTAGTATTTGTCGTACTTGTGGCTGTTGAGGTGGTGTTGGACGAGGTTGTTCTTGTGGTGGTGTCGTAGGTGTATCGTTCTCGAATGGCGGTGCTACCTGTTGTTCATGCGGTGGCTGTGGTTGCTGCAGGGTAGCGGTTACTTGCGGCAAAGTCCGAGGTGGGCACGCATGTCCGGATCGTGGTGGAGGTGGTAGTATTTGTCGTACTTGTGGCTGTTGAGGTGGTGTTGGACGAGGTTGTTCTTGTGGTGGTGTCGTAGGTGTATCGTTCTCGGATGGCGGTGCTACCTGTTGTTCATGCGGTGGCTGTGGTTGCTGCAGAGTAGTGGTTACTTGCGGCAAAGTCTGAGGTGGGTACGTAGGTGGTGGAGGTGGTAGTTCTTGTTGAGATGGTGTTTGTTGATGCTGCGGTAATGATTGTCTATGTTGTTCGTCTGTTGGTTTCCGACCAAAAGGCTTCGACCGATTTAAAGGCAGATGAGGCAAAACATATTGTTTCACCACTTCTGCCTTGAGATTCTTCTTGGACGAAGGGCACCCTTGAAGCAGATTGTATGCTGTAGATCCACCAAAGCTGGAACTATTCAGTCTCTGAATTTTTTTTCTTGGTTTGTATGGAGACCCTGGAGAAGTTGCAGGCTCCAGCTCAGAGTTATCATTCAAAAATCGATAATTGTCTGCTTGCGAAGAAATTTGCAGCTTTCTTGTTCTTGGGCCTCTGGCTGGCAGATAGGGTGATGAAGGCGTTTCTTGCTGAAATTGTGGTGAAGCCTGACAGTTTTCTCCTATCAGACCACAGCTGGAATCCGAGTTCAATGGGCGAAGTGGTGTACGAGGAGAACTTCTAACTGGTAGCCTTGGTGATGAAGATGGTGTCCATGACTGCAGCATCTGAGGCGAAAGGTTTTGATTCTCGACGGTTCGAGGGTTGTTCATTGGTGTTCTATTACCTACATTGAAAATAAAATTAATTATTGTACGAAGCTTCAAAATAATCATAACAAATCATGTAAGATCATATTTCTTAATGCTTTATTAGCTTTCTGTGCATAATTATTTTTCTTACATGATGATTGAAAGTGTTCAAAAGAAGTATCAGAATCAGAAGTGGTTCTCTCATAAAATAATATGTAACCTGTGTCACTTTTCTGGCTGTCACCATCCAGTACAGTGAAGGAGGACACCTGCAGGGAAATGTACTGATAAAATTGTAAGATATGTGAATTTCGCTTACTTTCGAATCGTTGTAAATATTGATCGTACCATCTTGCATTAGACTTTGACAAATATAGTGTCCTTTGCTCAAATCACCTTCATGATGGATGATGGCTTTGCAAAAAAATGACACCTCCTCAGTTCCATTTTTTTTTATAATTTGGCCATCTTTTAACGCAAAGATACTCTGCTTCAACGTCAAACCATAGTCCAAGACAATTTCACCAGAGTCTTTCAAAAGCTGGTTGGCCTGGTTGCTGAACCTAAATTTTTATTATTGAAGTTGAATAGAGAATAATTTAGTATGAATATAATATCACTTATTCAATCCATACCAGATCCCGTATTAATTAATTCTTTGAAATGAACACACCACCTGATGAGGCACATCAACACAAAACCACAGACATCACTTTTTCAACACCACCAATAACATTCCTTCACCCATGTACCTACAAAATGAAATCACAAAGTAAAATGTTCTTTTTTTAACTCTAAAACTTCCCTGATAACAAATAAAAATAACGCTTGCAAAAAAAACAAGACGAGTTGAAAAAATAAAAGTTATGTTCTTCTCAGTTTTGTTAGTCACATAATGGGTCTGCACATTTTCATTTGGATTGCTGGAAACAGAAACAAAATTAATTACAGAGTAAATAATAATAAATTGAAAAAATAATAAAAAACATAAATTAAATAAATCCCCGTTACACAACGCTCATCAAAATTTGAATCAAAATCACCTTTTCAGTTGAATTACCAAAACTTTTGGAAGCTCCTGAAAATAAATTATTTCCTTTTGTGGAGTTCCTCTGTGGCAATGTGAGCAATACGGCTCATGAACGCAGCTATCGTCACTGTTCATGTAAATACGCAGAGCTTCCTTCAAATCAGATGCCATGGGTAGGCAAAGGTCGTACATGGGCTGACTTAAATACCGGGTTTTGCCGCACACTAAACATTGACCTGCATATTGTTTTGGAGGATATTGATGCAATGTAATTCTAAATATATATTTTAATCTTACGCTCAAAAACTTCTTTGCCCTCGAAAACTTCACTCACTCCCTTCTTATCCAACGACTCAATCTTTTCGAGTAACATTCTGTGCAATTCCATGGAGTCCTGCTGTAAACCTTCGTCAAAATCTTTTGTGCCTATAAGAATAATAGTCTAATCCAATAAGGTTCAAATGTTACTTTTTTAACTTACTCCAAATTTGTGTAAGCAAGTCCAAGGGTGTGAAAGGCTCAGCACAAGTTTTTGTTACCTCACGACCAACTTCTTTCAGCAAGCAAATAATGCAACTTTTAGACTTCAAGAGTTGGCAACTTTCTTCTTTGTGATTATTAAGCAGCATCCAAATCCAGCTGCATGCAAACCAAGCCTAAAACAAATAACCATGGAAATAATAGCAGCCAATTGTAGCCTCTGTGAAATACATTGACAAAGTACTTCTTATTTTTTTTATATACCTGGCAAAGTGAATTTATATAGCATGAGTTCCCCATATTCACCAATCCTCGCAATGGACCGTCAACAGCATCAAATGTTTTTCGTATTGAACAATCCAAAGACTCCCCAATTGGATTGACATCTTCCACATCTGGATCTAGATTTCTCGTCGGTAAAGCTGGCATCTGATAGTATTACACATTATTTTCATAAAACTTCAATGCATAGCAATCTCTTATACTCAAGTTTCTTACCCATGGCTTAGGTACTGCATCTTTGATCAGTTTACCATTTCCGTAAAAAAATTTTATGTCAAAGTGTTTGACACAACATCGAATATCTGTTCGCTCATCATCAGCAGGCAAGCCCATGTTTATCAACCATTGTCTTCTACGCCTATAAAAATTGCTCTTATTAGTATGTAATTTTGAATTGAAGGAAAATTGCAAACTCACTAAATTAATAAAATCTGAATAAAATCATAAATACGGACACACATTATATGGATACAATAATAGTTATAAAAAATATATCGAATTCTTAGTATTAATAATATTCAAAAATTAATTTTTGTAATAATGTTACTCACTCAGCATTATTTATACTTGAAGCCTTTGGAGCACATTTAAGATCAATTCCATTTAATGAAGTGCTATCACAATCAATGTAATGGCACTTCCTAACTTGAACGTTTAGATGAGATCTTCCCGTCTTATTAACTGTTTCAACTTCCACCGATGGCATTTTTCTTTTCCCTTCATCATCATTCTTGGATACAGCCAAAATCATCCCTGGTACAATTTGAAATCAATTGGGTGAGACTTTTCGGTATTCTGCAAATGAATCAATAAATAATAAAAAGTATGTAATTCAATTCTGTCGAGAGTGCCGAGCCGAGTAGCTGCGACTAAAAACAATTATGCAATATTTATGTACATTTCTACATTTAAAAAAAGCCAATTAGAGCTGAAAAACAATAAATCATTAATGATTTATATTTTAATTCCACTCCAAAGTAATTCTATTTTAACTTACGAACAGTCTGAGAATTTAGCTTGTTAGAACTTGATAAATAACAAATCAATCAAAACAATCCCATGAGGTATTATTTTATGTACTTTCAATCGTTTTCCGCCTTCTAGCGCCATCTATTGGAAAACGAAATAATGATAACAACCAATGAAACGGTCACGTGACCAGCCAGTTCACAAGTATGAACAGTGGTACAAACCTGCGCATAGGAGTGAACAGGCCGTGCCCCGTGTCTACTTTAGCACAAAATTGGACCTAGACGAAGTGCTTTAAATTGGCAAAATACACCTTTGGATTGTTCACACAATCTCTGTATAAATGGCGTTTAAAAATGACCTGAAACGGCTCGCGATGCCCTATTACTGGGTAAATTTGCTGCTCACATTTTCTTACATCCTTGGCAAGAAAATTGTTCCGATTTGCGAGCTCATCTTCCCAGACAAGACTGAGTGCGGCGAGATTGACATGGTTGGTGTCTATTTTTGCAGTTTTGTTTTGACGTTCGCTGATCTTACCATGCGCATTTTTACAGCGAGAAAGTGAAATTTTATTTTTCCTGCTCATCGTGGTCGTGATGAGAGCAAGAAAGACTGGCAGCATGTCCATGGTTAGCTATCTTTCTTCAAGTTTCATCTACACCAAAGGGGCAAACCTTATTCTGTGGTTCTATTCCGACACCAAACTTGGAATTGCCTACGGAGCAATTTTCATACGTAAGTAATTATAACAGACTGTACAAATAATACTATCAACAACAAATCATTTTTTTTCATGAAAGTTTTTTATAATTTCTCTTACAGCTATGCAGAAAATATAAATGTTGTATATTTTTATCTTTATTATGTATTTTATGTTCGAATGAAAAATTGTCAAATTTTAGTGGTTGGACTTCTTCTTCCCGAACCAACATATAAAGGCCCAGAAAATGTGACCTATTTCCGAGGCACTGACTTGGAGGAAGAGATCAAGAGAGACAAACGCATCACTTGGATCGTAACTTTTTATACAGCCTGGAACCCAAGCTGCGTAAATTTCGCACCAATTTTTGCTGAACTTTCCAACCAGTATGGTCTTGAAAATCTTCGGTTTGCCAAAGTCGACATTGGTCGTTTTCCGGAAGTAGCCAAGCGCTTTAGAATAGATGACTCTTCTCTCAGTCGCCAGCTGCCCACTGTGATTCTTTTTAAGGATGCTAAGGAGCACATCAGACGCCCTGATATTGACACCAGCAACAAGCTGCACAAATTTTATTTCTCCGAAGTAAGAGTTCAGCCAGCCACTAATTTTATTTCTAAAAATCTTAATGTTTTAGGACAATGTGAAGGCTGCTTTTGATCTGAATAACATTTACAACGAGAGCAAAAATAATCCGCTGAAGTCACCCAAGAAGAGCAAAAAGTTACAGAATGGTACTGAGGACGATCACATTAAGTCTGAATAAACTAATTATTAAGAATGTGTGCGCCTGAAACACCCTAGAAATTGTTACGTCTCTACGACATAGTCACCAATATATTAATTATTATTATAAGTTAAAATGGCTTGTTGTCTGCTTTTTTACAAATGATTTCCATCAGTTTTCCCACCTGACTGTTTAAAAGTTGTTAATATCAGTATGAAAAATGAGTGGTAGGTTGTAGGTTCACGGCAGGTTGTCAAATTAAGAGTTCATAAAGTTTATTAAATTTCTGAGTTGAAATCCTACTGCTTGCCATGTCTTGCCCCATTCATAGCAAAATTCACTTTTCTCGAAGCAAAATCTGTAAATTAAAATTTGATCCGTCCAGCCCAAAAAAGAAACTACTGGGGTTTGCAGGATTTGAAACAGGCAATTTAGCATAAATTTGTTGCAAGTGCTAGCAACCATTATATAATATTGATCCATTACACAAAGTATTGTATAGCAATTGTGCTTTTTTTAATAAGAACCTGATTTAACCTCATTGAAAAGAGGAAAAAAAATATTTTTTCAATGAGGATACGCCCAGTAAAATCTTTTCATGATATCCACGTTATCCACCTCCTGTGTATTTTTGTGAAAATCAATGCCACATTATTTAGTCGTATTAATTTGTGAAGAAAAGTAAACGAAATAAACATAATTCATGAATATTTACAAATTTTATTTTCTTTTATATTTTGTACATCGCTAAAGATATTTATGTAAAGAAGCTGAGAAATTGAATTCAATTCATATGAAAGTGAAGTAAAAGTTTCATACAAATATAATAATAATAATCACCATTTATTTCCAAACTTCTTTAATGTTTGCAAACTTCAATGTGTACAAACTTAAATACCAAAATTAGACTACTTTGGAAGAAACAAGACTGAATTCCTAAATTTAGGAAATTATAACTAAAAACTTAGCCTAGGTGCTGTAACCTTGTTTCACTATCACTCAATTTAGTCAAGTCCTCTATATCTTCAACAATCTCTGGCTCGAAATCATCTTCAGTTTCAACATCATTATCATCATCATCATCGTCAAGAATAATGGCAAAAAGTGGCTAAAAAAAGATGGTAAAAAAGGCTTTTGAGCGTATTTTTACTTGAAATAAAATTTCAATTACCACATTTCTAACTGGTTTAGCGGAAGAGGTGCCTCCTGATGTTGTGTTCGCTGTTACCCTGCGCACTTCTTGAATTTCTTCCATTACTGGTTGGAGTGGTCTTGGCACCTCGTCCAGAATCTCGATGTCTATTTCCTCTTCCTCCTCGTCCAACACCATGATTTCGATCGCTTCTGTAGAATATTGGGAACAATCTTGTCTGGGGTTTGTCCGATGAACTGCCGTTGGTAGTCTGCTGGTTACAGATTGTTTGAAGAGGGGTGGAACCAGCAGCAGGGGAATTATACCTCTCTACAACTGCTGCACTTTCTTCTGGGACTTCGGCAACACAAGGAATGGGGTCAGATATGGAGGAAGGACCAGGGAGAGCATTATCAGATATGAGGGCGTCTATCAAGGCAGTTGTTTCAGCATCTTGACACTCTGAAATTACAACATTTATTTTGATGCTAATATATTGCACGAAAAAAAATTAATTAAGTATAAATAATGATGGCATATTCAAATTATCTCTTTTAAATTTAGGCCCCCATGTCTTTCTGGTTCCAATGTTTTTATAATGCCGTAATCCAAAGTAATTAAATTGAATATGCAAAATTATCTAGATTTTAATGAAATAAATATTTTTTTTAATATCTGAAAATAAATTGAAGTGCTTACGGGTTTGAATGATGGGCTTGCATCCTGTGCAATACCACTTTCTGAGAGCAGTCTTAAATTTTGTGCAGCCAACGTGAATTCCTTGAGAGCCACAAGCAGAGCACAGTATAATTTCCCAGTTGCTGAAAATAAGATAAAAAAATTGTTTGCTAACTTTGGTTTCAATATTAATTACCCGATTTCCTCGTCTTCTTCCCTCCCGCTTGGACAAAGGCACAACTCTGCATCACACCGACTGTATCTTTCATACAACGCTTGAAACTGATTTCCTTCAAGCTCCCAAGAGGCATCTCTGTAAAATTTAGTGTTAAATAATAAGAAGCATGGCATGCTTAAGTCATTACGATTCGGGGACGTAAATTCCATATCGGAGCATGGCTTTGTTAAATTCATCCTTGTCATTGCACCGTGGGCATTTGAAAAAGTATCCAGAGCTCAATGCATATTTCTAAAATGAAATCATGAATAATAAAAATATTGCAAGTAACACAATAATTTACCTGAACACATAATCTGTGCAGCCATGCGTTCTTTTTGCAGCAAGGCGCCCAGAGGACGTGTATGCATTTCAAGTCTTTTTTGGCCTCCTCCATGCAGATGGCACAAATAGCTGGTTCAGTTTCGTAAAAAATGTTTGATGGAATTTTGATATTGGGTCGGTGCTGCTTGCAAAAAGATCTAGTGGAATTTTATCTTAAATTAGTTATAATACTTTTATTATGAACATTAACGCTCACTCAAATTTATTGAAATAGTTGTGCTGAGAACCATGTTCCATTCCACATGGAAGGTGAAAGACTTTTTTGCACATCCTTTGAACACAAATGATTGACGCACCAGCTTCATCGCAATAACTGCATTTCTGTTTAAAAAAATAATAGGTAAAATAATTACAATAAGTTCCTATTTATCTAAAGTGGCAAAATATTTGAGTTTTGGAGTTCTAATAAATTGCAAAGATGTGATGGTTTTGATTGATTCATAATTACATAGATCATTGTGCAGACCTAAATTTATTTTCATACCACTTTCTCGGCACTTGCAATCTGTTTTTTAATGTCAGACTCTAAGAAGCCAAAGATTCCTTCTGTGTCTTCTCCTTTTTGAGCCAATGCGCACGCAAATAGCTAAAGGAAAAAACGTGATGAAGAAATTGGTGAAAATTTATAATTTATCGTACAAGGCAATAGTAGTGCACGGTGACAGAGCCAAGGACGTAAATCTTTCCATAGAGTAAAGGGTCGCTTGGACTTCGGTTGCACAAGCCACAATACTTTTTGTTTTTAATTTGGTTGATTGTTTCTTCATCCAGCCTCTGAAGGAGAACTCGGCACCTCCTCCTTAAATCGATTTGAGAATGATCATGCTGAATTGGATTCATATTCATTCGACGGTCATTCACGATTGTTCTAAAAACAAATTTAAAAATTAAATAAATGTGGAGATAATATACAGTTCAAATTTTGAATTTCTATGACAAATTCAATTAAATAGTGCTAAAAATGAGTCAGAAAGTAAAAAATATTGCATTGAACCTACGAGTCATTCACGGAGTCTTTCATCACATCAGGGAATTCCTCTCTTTAAGTCTCCAAAAACACAGTATAAACGTGAAAGGAAATTATTTCTTTTGTTGATTGTGATATTAAAATGTGTAAATCAGTCTTAGTTAAGCAGAAAAATGTATTTAAATAAGCTTTGTTGTGATAGAAGCATTTGACCGCCAAGCGAAGAATTCAACAACAGCAGCCAACAGGCTACAACCGCGAAACTCAACCCTGCTGACTGCATCTGCAGCCGCCAGTGGCCGCCAGCCTCTTCCTCTTTCCTCTCGTAAATTTCTTTATTTTCACTTCACTTCGAAGCTCCCATGTTGGCTCCCATCTCGTCTTAAGGAAATTAACCAATAAACACTCATCTTTCTTCTGAGCAAAAAAAAAAAACGTCTAAATGCACAATAAGTCCGTGGCTCCGTGGACATACGCATGCGCACTAGCCACATTCAATTCAGGGTTAACGCCTGGCAGGTCCAAGAGGTGGCAGGACCAACAAGAGCAGACAAGAATGAACGGAGAACACTCCCACTCTCCCACTGCCAAGACAAACCGGACGACTGACAAGTTGATGTAGAAAAACCATCTGACGTGGAAAGCGACTGTGAGTTTAATTCTGGGAAGAACGGCAGCCACCTGCTGATGCTCGAACGACAGAATGCCCTCCGACTACGATGCCCTGAAGTCAAAACTCGAGGCCCATGGCCAGGCACATTTGCTGTACTTCAGGGACCGACTCACCGACTCGGAAAGGAACAGCCTGATCGCTGACATTGCCGAAATCAATGTCGAAGAGAGTCTCGAGCACTTCCAGCAGGCTATGCTGGCCGAATCGCAGAATGACACCAAGCCCCTTGACTCCTCGATGGAACCTGTGCCGCAAGACATCTGCGGCTCGGCTTCCGAATCCAGTCCGGAAGAACTGGAGTCCCTGGAGAACAGAGGCCTTCGACTGATGGCCGAAGGGAAAGTGGCCACGCTGCTGCTGGCAGGAGGTCAGGGCACTCGACTAGGGGTTGTTTACCCCAAAGGCATGTACGACATTGGCTTGCCGTCCCACAAGTCCCTGTACCAACTGCAGGCCGAACGAATTCTTCGTCTGCAAATTCTAGCAGAAGAACTGACAGGCCAGAAGGCGACAATCCCTTGGTATTTTTTCACTTCATTTTGAAACACGGATTATTATTAAGTTTTTAATTTTCAGGTACATTATGACGAGTGAGCACACAAGGGAGCCGACAATACAATTTCTCTCCGACCGAAACTACTTTGGACTTGACCCGATGCAAGTGTTAGTTTTTGAGCAGGGAATGATGGTTTGCTTTTCCCCTGAAGGCAAGATCCTGCTGGAAACGCCAAGCAGACTAGCCAGAGCACCCGATGGAAACGGGGGCCTCTTCCGAGCGCTCAGGGATAGCGGTATCATAGACGACATGGAGAAACGAGGCCTTGTGGTGTGTTAACATTTGCTATCAAATTGATAACAAGAAAAATGCTTATTATCTTGTCCTTTTGCGCTCAATTAACGTGACGCGCTTAAGTGCAAAGTCAAATATTTGCAAGCGCGGCATTATTGCCCAAGCTCAAAGATTATACCAGCTCTATTAATTTTTATTTAAATGTGAAATCTCGTGGATTTTCTTGCAGTTAATCTAAACGCAAGTTTTAATTTCAGTACGTACATGTGTACGGAGTCGATAATGTGTTAGTGAGACCTGCAGATCCAATTTTTGTTGGATATTGTGACGAGAAGGGCGCCGAGTGTGCAGCTAAAGTTGTCCACAAAGCTCTTCCCAGAGAGGCTGTCGGTGTGATTTGCTTAGTAAGTGTTTAAATTGAATTAAATAAGTCTAGATATTAAATCATATTCTTCTGCATAGGTTGATGGAAAATATAACGTAGTGGAATATAGTGAACTGACGACAGAAAAGGCAGAGCAGCGTGGTCCAGACGGTCGCCTTACTTACTGCCTAGGCAGCATTTGCAATCACATATTCTCTGTCCCATTCCTGAAGAGAATATCTGGGAGCAAGAAAGATGGACTGAAATATCATATTGCACGCAAGAGCATTCCAGTTGCCGATCCCGACACAGGGGAGTCCAAGGCTCCCAGCAAGCCCAACGGTATCAAGGTAATTTTTACTTCAATTAAAATAAAAAATTTACTTTTTACTAACTGAATTCCGATCCTACAGATTGAAAAATTTGTTTTTGATGCCTTTCCCCTGGCCAAAACATTTGCCTGCTGGGAAGTTCGCCGAGAGGATGAGTTCAGTCCACTGAAGAACCGACCTGGCGAGAGTGCCGACACCCCCAAAACTGCAAGACAGGCCCTCCTCTCCTTCCATCAAAGATTGATTGCAGCTCAGGGTGGTATTATTGTGGACGAAGATGGTCATCCAATATCCCCAGAAGATGCTATTGTTGAAATTTCACCCCTTGTGTCTTACAGAGGGGAAGGCTTGACCCCTTTAGTGGAGGGACAGCGTCTCCGATCACCCCTCCAGCTAAACCCTACTGTCAATCACTCAAAAAAACTGGCTGACAGTGATCTCTTTTTACCTCCAGAAGAAACCGTGCATTGATTTTTTTTAATACCTGGTCAAATTTTAATGACTTGAATTGCTGTTAAGTGGCGTTGCATTTATTTAGTCAGTTGCGGGGCATCATTTAAAGAAATTATGTGTTCTGTCAGAGTCTACTTGAGAGTCGTTTTGCCTAGAAACTTTGTGATAAGGCTTATATTTGGTCAGATATAACATTATAATATTATGTATTATACCATCTGCTGTTATGGACAAATGCTTTTTACTTGATTGCGGTTTTTGATCTGTTGGAACTGCACTCTATTTATTATTATTTTAATTTTTAATTTCAAACACATTTTATAGTTTATGATCAAAGGTTTATTGTGCAGTTTATATTGAGGAGCGTGGTGGCGGTCAATAAATTTTTAGCTAAAAAAAATATGTTGTAATTTTTATATTCCTTTACTGGCAAAAAAAAAACAACTTGCAATGATTGATTAAGCTGGCGGATGATTTGAATGTTAAGGATAAATTCAAGCCATTATTATTATTTTTTTTTTTCGCGAATCCTCTCGTTTATAGTGTTGCTTTTATAACTTTGGTTTCCAATCCCGTAGATTATTATTTTACTATTGAAAATTTAAAACCAACAAGTTTAAAACATTCAAAAGCAAAAGTACTACTATCAGTGTTTTGTTTTTACCCAAAACCACTCCCACTTCTAGAGCTTGTTTTGAAAATTGAGCTCGCGTGTTTGGGTCATCTTGAGTGCCTGTGGAGCTCGTGTGCTGCAAAGCCTGAAGGAAGAACTCTAAATTTTTTTTTAATTTTGGCAGTATATATTTTATTGGCCGTAAAGTAAAAAGCTTTCCAGATTTAAACCTGAATCCCATACAATTTTAGAAGATGAACGGATACAATGAAAGCAGGTAATTTTTGTATGTATTATATTTAATCGGTATTTTCTTCTATTTTTCTGGAATTTGCTTGGGATCAAATTTGATCTCAGATCAGAGTAAACATTATTACGCACTTTATGTAACTATAGATTAACAATGAATTTTATTTGAACAAAATGAACAAATATTATTATTATTTGCAGTGACAGCCTGCAAAAAAAGAAGAAAAAGAGCAAAAAAGGAGGAACATCATTAGAGGCATCATTTAGTGGCGATTTTTCATTTAGGTAAATAGTTTTTGTTAATGTAATGTTAAGAAGTAATGCTAATATTAATATAAATTTGACAGCACATCACACGGTGTGTTTGATGCGGCTGCCTTTGTAAAACCAAAGAAGAAAAAGAACGAGAATGAGATGAATGAAGTGGGAAGTGAGGGTCAGTTTGTTATTGTTGATCATACAGGAACCACTACAGATGAACTCTCTGGAAGGTAAAAAAAAACTTTCATTGAGAGCTTAAAGATGAAAACTGAAAATACATTTGTGCTTATAGTGATGTCTCATCTTTAGTAATAACTGATGTTGGAAGCCCGAAAAAACATAAAAAGAAAAAGCAGGCAGAAGTGGTTTTGGACAAACAAGCTGGTCAGAAAGTCACAGAAGACAGGTAAAATTTATTATTCCTCGATAACTCCTGTATGTATTTTTACTTTTTCACTCTAGTGCTATTCAAAACCAGGACAAGGAATGCAGATCTCACAAGAAAAAGAAAAAACGAGATTTAGAGAAAATGAATTTGGAGGAAGCTCAATTTAAAATCCTGAAGAAATACTGCAGTGGATATGATTTCCAACCAAAATTGGAGAAAAAGAAGTCGAAGAAGAAAAATCCCAAGGAAAATCTTCTTGTCCAAGAATGTGAAGGGGATAGTGGTATTATTGAGCAGTCTCAAAGGTAATCAAATCTATTGTGTAAAAATGTTATGAAAGGAAACAATTTATTTTGCACAGCAATACCGCAGATGTCTCAATAAGTGCTGCTGATGGAAGTCCAGCAAAGAAGAAGAGGAAGACAAACAAAGTCGACCAGTTGGTTATTGATGAAAATAACGGCGATAATTGCGCTGGACCTTCAGAGAAGTATATATCAAAATTTTATGTGCAGGTCAGCAAAGAATTATGATTTTATATTTTCTTAGTGAGGTCTCAACAATTGATTTTGAAGGAAGCCCGTCAAAACAAAAGAAGAAGAGGGAAATAAATAAAGCAGACCAGTTTGTTAATGGTGAAAATAAAAGCGATAATTGTGCCAGGCCTTCTGAGAGGTATAGATCAAAATTTTATGCACAGGTCAGCAAAAAATTATAATTTCATATTTTCTTAGTGAGGTCTCTACAATTTATTTGGAAGGAAGCCCATCAAAACAAAAAAAGAGGAAGAAGATGACAATGAATACAGCAGTTAATGGTGAAAATAAGAGCGATACTTGTGCCGGACCTTCTGAGAGGTAGGACAAAATTATATATTCAGATCTGGTAAAAACATGATTTTATATTTTCTTAGTGAGATCTCAACAATTGATTTGGAGGAAAGCCCATCAACACAAAAAAAGGGGAAACATAAAAAAATTAGCATTGATTATATCATACCTGATGAGGATTGTCAGCAAGAAGTGGTTCAAGCTAGCAAATGGTATAATTAATCATTTTCTTATTGACATTATTTCTATTAACTGATTTCTTTATGTGTTACTTTACTTCAGTGAAAAAAGCCAATCTAAAACTGAGCAGGAAGGAAAGTTGGAATCCAGTGGAAAGTAAGTTGATTTTTAAGTTTTTAGAATTTTGCATAATTTTTTCTACTTAGTATGGAATGCAGTACTCCAAAGAAAAATACAAGTACTTTACCTTCATCCTCTGGGTCTAAGAAACAAAAGTACAGTGTTAGAAAGAAGCAAATAATGAATCAAGGTGACAAAGAGGAAGAGCACGATGATGTACTTGACAATATGCTGCGAGGAAACTTTAATTCAAATGAGGTTCCAAACTTCATCAGAAAGGATAAAAAATACAAAGAGCTTACACAGAGAGAAATAGATGCCAAGTTTGACCGTCTCAGTATTTCAACAAACTTCAAGGTTCACGAGGAGCACACTGTCGAGCCAGTAGTTAAAGCGTATCTGGATAAGGCTTTGAGGCTGGAATTCAAAAAATATAACATGATGCCTCATGGAAAGCAATGGATCAAAGCAGAAGATGAATTGCTACTTAAAAACTGGGAGACTTTTAGGAAAACTTACGGTTTGGAAGAAGAAGATTGGCAAATGTTTCAAGTGACCAGAAAAGAGCGAAAAGATGAAATTTTGACATTTTACAGGTAATCATATTATTATTAAAACCAAAGCAGATAGAAAGCCTGCTGCAAAAGGCCATACCAATTTTTGGGAAGTCCACCCCTCACACCTTGATAGTATAATGAAGATTGGGCTCTATGGATATCATCGCACACTTTCTTGGCACTGAAAAAGCTCTTTTTGTAGTCTCCATTCCATATCCTTGAACATTGCAACCCCTGATCAATACTTAATTCTTTTTTTTAATAATTATTTAAAATCAACTTCAATTAACTAAATTTTGCTTCTTTTATGAGTTTTCAATCCATGTACATTTTGGTAAACATTGACTTTTTCCAGATTTCTTGGACAGGGCCTGCCAAGCAGACCATTGCAGTCAATTTCCAGGCGCTTTATACACATTAAAATTCATGGCTCCAGGAAAAAGGCCATTCCCTTCACAAGGGAGGAGGACGAGTACATCCTACATGTCCTAGATACGTGTGAGGTGAAAGATCAGTACAGCAGGCTGGCAAAAATTTTAGACCGAGAAAAGCAGTCTGTCCGATTGCACTGCCTGAAGCTACTGTCAAAAAGGGAGGCAGACAAAACCACCCCATATCATTTATTGAGTCGTGAAAACTTGACCTTGATTGTGAAGGCAATCATGAAGTCCGTTAATGCGTCCACCGTGCACGAACTTTCGAAGTACAAAAGTATCCCGTATCGCACAGTGGCCGATGAACTTGATATCAGCGAACAGCGCATTTACAAACTGTGGACTCAACACCTGTACCACTCTTTGCGACTGGAATTCGTGGTGCTCAGGGACTCCATTATCCTGAAGGCGGTGGACGTTATTCTGGAAAATAACTGGGATGATCCATTGGGAGTGGACTGGGAAGAGGTGGCAAGACAAGTGAGACCATTTCATCGCCAAATCCTCAGTGAAATGATCAGGGACAGAATCAAAAGATTGAGCGACACACAAGAAGACCGCAGCTTCTTGAAAAAGTGTCAAAAACTCAAAAGAACGCTCGAAGCTAGAATTGCAGAAAATAAGTACTTCAAGAGAGACTTCATTTACCCACTGAATGTTACGGAAGATGGGGTAGTCATGGCTTAATTTAACTAGATGTTGTACAAGGCGCTAATATTTAAAAAAAATTATAGATTTAATTTCCCGCAATAGTCCTAATGTTTGGGAAAACTATTTTTAATTTTTTAGAATAGAGGCCCTTAAACTCTACGACAGAAGATATAGTTTGAGTTTTATTTTCAAGAAGTTGTAAACTTAATTCACAGTTTTGGCGGAGAGCACCGATTAACTATCTGAAAAATGTGCACTGAACTCAGTCGACAAAGTTTTTCGCTTATCAATGATATTCCCTGCCACCTGCGCTAAAAAGTAGTTTGGTTCCTTATTTTTAAATTTCATTTAAAGAATATGCCAGAATACATGTGCACATTGGATATTTTTTTCTGCTATGGCTCCAGTTCGGAGAATTGGTTAAATTTGGAAACACATGACTTTGCTGACATGAAATAATGTTTTACTTTTTGTTTTCATATTTTTTATGTGCATGCATTTTTGTATTGAATAGGTTGTCAAAATATATTTAAAATTTTATATCAATCGGCATTTTATTTCTGAATGCAATAAATTAAAATTTATGAGCTTGCTGGAAATGTGGACGCTAACATGTGAGTGGGCATTTGTCGCATTGATGTGAAATATTTTTTTCTCAGTGTTTCTGACTGCAGCGCTCAATACTATTTTCGTACAAAGTTTCTACAAGCAGGCTCCTCTACCTTTCTACATGCGTGACTCGCCCGGTCATGGGACAAAATGTCTAGCGTGTATCATGTCATAAAAGTTTTTCGGCATCGAGTCAAATAAGAGGGCACGCAGCCAACCTGCCTGTAGAGCAGGAGGCTCCAGCAATTACATTTTCTGCGAGTGTAGAAAAAATATGCACCTTTTGTACATGTCCATAAAAATTTAAAGGGTAAAAAAAGCGAAGACTTAAAACTTTCATGCATTTAACTCAAATTTAATTATTACAAAAAAAAGTACTTCGATAATATAATTTTTTTAGAAAGCAGGCAGCCCTTTTTTATTGACCGCTATTAATATATTTACTGTAATTAATCATAGTCAGATGACACAAAAAAATTCATTTTTTCCAATTTCCACTTGTTAATTTAAGTTTAAATTATAATTAAATTTCTACTTCTTAGTTAGTACAAAAAAATTTAAAAAATGGAAAAAAGAGAAGCAGGGTCAACTGTACAACGTAGGGGTAACCACTTTTTTTTAATTTTTTTTTCAAAATTATTATAAAATCGTGCTTTAAAAAATATTTACTAGAATATTATTATTCAACGCTATAGGCACGCAGTACGCGCGGGTTGCATACTCCGTTCTCGACAGGCGCTTTATGTAATTGCATTGCTCTCGTATAAAGCATTTTTTATGTATATTTTTCTTGCAATTCATGATATTTTCCCTTTTCCCCGCTGTTCTTTATATTTGTTCAAAGCAGAAAGGATCACGTATTTTAGCAGACAGGCGGCGATTAACCACTGCAGCCGTATCTATTGTTTGTACAAGAAAAAGAAGGGAGTACACAATAAGCAAAAGAAACAGACTGCGGCAGAGGGATTGGAAAATGAGAATTCACGTGTCAATTAATTACATTTTATGTTTGTAAAAATACAAAATATTTTTTTTAATTATGGATTTACTTTATTTTTTTTCGGAGGGCCATTTGAGGATAATTGAAACTAACAATTTTAAACAAAAGCGTCTGTGCATCCTGTCTGCAAAAAATCACCACGTTTCCTGCGAAAACAGCCTAAACACTTTTGCCACGCCCAACTTCCATTCAAGGAAAGCAGGTAGTCGGAGAAAATCTTTAAACAAGTGGCAAACTCTCTTTCACTGACGTGGGAATTCAATATTGGCGAGACGAAATGGCGAAAAGCCGCGCTAATGACGCGACTTCTTGGAAGAAAGAATCGGCCTAATGAAAAAGACTCAACAGGAGGCTTTGATATATTATACATATATTTTTTTTCATTTCTTTCACCATTGGTGGAAATTCATAAATATGTACTTTGGTCGTAAATATAGACGATTCACAAAAATTGTGCGTCTGCTTTTGATTGAAATGTTTGCGCCCACGTCAAGCCGGCGTCGGACAAAAGATCTCGCGCGGCGCGAACGCACGAGGAGGAAAATCCATTGATCATTTCTGCAAAAAGCGGCATGTGTGTGCGTGCGTGTGTGCAATGTTCTGCAATGACCGCACCCAAAATGTCCACAATTGACCCAAATAGGGCGGAAAAGGTACGGCAGCGGTGACCAGCGCCGCGAGAGAGGAATAAAGAAAAAGTGGCGACGAGCTGGCAGCGGCGCCCAAAAAATGAGCAGCCCAAAAAAGAAGGCCCAGATAATCGGGGATAAAGCAAGGGCTGGGCGAGGGACGGAGGCGGGGAAGGGTGCAGGGCAGGGGGAGGGGCGGCGCCTGGTGTGTGGTATTGACGCCGGGGCCTCCATCATGGAGAACGGTCGGGGCTGCTCGATGGAGGCCGGTTGGCGCCGCAACGGCGCAACGATCGATGCAGTTGTCAGAGTTCTGCTGCTGCTGGTGCTCCGTGCGACAGGCAGGGCTTGCTTGCTTTGAACGCAAGGTTTGCAGTCCGCGATGCTGCTGTGAGACCCACGGCCTCGATGAAAGTCCGCTGAAAATATATCAACCTCACACTGCCCAATTCTCGGATGGAAAAGGAAAAGAAGCGAGCCAACTGGTGAATAATCCCCGACTGGAGTTACACCGAGAACAGGCCAAGAAACACTCGGATATACCAAGGCAAGCAGCACACCTCATATCTAGATTCATAAGTCGCATTCGCAAGCACCAACTGCCGTCCTAAATTGTCCAGAAAGGGAGTGCATCGCTTACTCACTAGTTTTAACGCCATTGCCGACGAAGCAAGTCAGTTTTTTAATCTTTTCTATTTCTACGAGCTGTATATTTTCACACGCATATATTATATTGAGGAAGCAAAAATTCACTCACGCAAGCAAGCAAGCCAGTGTTCCTTCTTTTTGTCGCATATTTCTTTCCAAAGCAAGCAGAAAAACAGTTTTTTTCCATCTGCCACTGCTCCTCGTTTTGCCATAAAATCATCAGCTACTGCATAATTTAGGTGAGTACCACCTATTTTCCCCTTCACCCTCGAATCAATATCTGAAAATTTTTCATTCTCTCGATCACGAAACTCTTGGTCGAAAATTGTAACCAAAAGTGGTGGTGTGCGCGCAGATTTTCTTTCCTTGCGCGACCGGGCACGCACTCAACTTGCTTCTCGCAAAAATTAAGCACCAAATAAGCACGCTTTGCAAGACGAGAGCATGCTTATCTATCACGGCGCACAGGCCAATTATGCAGATGACTCATTGCCTGCGTTAATCACGCACCATTACATAACTCTAATGTCTCGGCAGGCAATTTAATTAAAAGCCTGGTAGAAAAAAATCACTTTCAAAGCCCTCCTGATAAAATTCAAATTATCGATTAATCCCAATGGCATATCTTTTTGCAATAGACGATTTTTTTAAAAAACTTTTCAGGATTCGCGTCTTGAAGTGAAAATTGAGTTTTTTTTAAAAAAAAGCGTGTGTATGCGTTTGCCGCAATCCTAATGAGGGGGTGGGGGGTGGCTCGGGTTAATTGAATCCTCAGCACGGCGGCGGCGGCGGCCTTCCTATTGCTGCGATTCGTGAGTCGCGCGGCGGACCGTCGGTTCTTGCCATTTAACCTTGAGGGCCGCCGTCTACACTACTGCAGTGCGGTGCACAATTGGTGTGCGACATGCAAGGCTCCAGCAGCTCGGCCACCCGCAAAACCGCCTCCGCCTCCCCCTCTCCGAGCGCCACCGCCAAGAAACGATGCCGAGTATTGTGAAATGGCACAAACAGTTTAAAAGGAACGGCGAAAAATAAATTTTAAATCGTCGCCCGAAAAACAATCGGCTTGTTCGTGCTCGGAGGACACGAGACGCGCAGACCGAGTGACACGCTCAATATCAAGGTACAAAATTTTGTAGGCCCTCTCGCCCCGCCGCGTATATATTATTTCAATTTTAGATAAGCCCGCGAGTGACCTTGTTTGGAGAATTTTACATTGCGCGCCCCGAGTGGGGAATCGAAATAGTCATCTCGTGATGTTCGATTTGAGTGCTCCAGTTTTTCCGTCTGCTCGTAATTGAGACACGGCCGTGGAAATGCTTTTTGATTTCAATGGGATCACATTCATCCACTTGTGTTGTTAATTCTCTGACACAAAAGACTCACGTTGCCCGACATCTGACAAAAGAACAATGGGCGTTCCATTCATCAGAGAACGTTTTGCAAAATGTTCCAAGTTAAACGATCATTTTATCAGTAAAAAAATAAAACTGGTGCCAAAATTATTGCATTCTCCATTCAACGACGAAGTTTTACAACCAGACAGAAAATGCTTGCAAAATTGTAACATTTTATATTTTATTTAATTGATTAATTTATTACAAAATTGGTTTCATGTAAATATCACCATTTTAAGTTTTAATTAAAGCGTTTGAGGGATTTTTTAAAAAAAAAAATTATCTCTGTCAATTTTAAACACTAAAAGATTCAATTTGAAGGCCTCTCATTGCATTTGTGTGTCTGCCGGCGTATAATGAAAATAAATCGGTCTCGATGAAAGACTTTGCATAAACTCGAAACAAAAAGCTCGTTTCGCATGCAAAAGCCGCCGTTTTTCCTTTATCAGCGGGCTAATGCTGATTGCCCTCTGACAAACAAAAAGTGAGCCGCGGGGTGGCGTTTGCCAGAAAACGCCCGCCGGTAACGATTTTTCAGTACACTCCTTTGGCAACAAGCGCGTCGCGAGTATGCCCAATCGGTCGACAAGCTAGGCAGACCCGAGAAACTAGGTGAAAGGAACATAATAGTCAGGCCGAAACTGGCCAGCAGCTGCCTCATTGATGGGTGCAGAATGAATGGGCAACGCTTTGCAAACACTTGATGTATTCGTGCATACATCGCCTCTGCCCCTAAATATTTCGTTATAAATTGTTATTTTACAAATATTCTGAATGGTTTTTTTACACGCGTGTGATTTAATTAAGTAAAAAAAGATGGAGTTCACATAATGGGAATGAAAAAATTTTTTATTTTTTTTATTTTTAAATTTTTTTCTTTACAATTTTTGCAAACTCAGAGAACACTTTCAATTCAACTTCAGTTAATTGGGAAAGAAATTAAAATTTAGCTTAATTGTTTGCTGTTTCAGATAATATGATTGCAAGTTTTTTTTTTAAATTTGTTTTCACGATACGTAAAAAAGGATAATATATCAGATTTTGATCTGATTGTGAAAAGCGCTTTCAGCCGCTTCAGCCGTCTCCAAAATTGAAATTTATCGATGAAAGCATGGATGTGCTGGAAAGGTTTCTTCGGCAATAAAACTCTCATTGAAACGCGACACCATCGCGCGACGTTGACGGAAGGGATTTGTCTGCGGCGCGATCCATTTTTCTGCTTGAGAACGTGGCTAGAACTGTGAATCGGCTCGGCAGCGCGCCTCGAGCGAGCAAGCGTTCTCCGGCCGGGTCGCGAGAGGAGCAAATCAAGTCAATAATTAGCCTCGGAATGATTTCACTTCAGCCGAGACTCACAATTTACGACTTTCAAAATATTCCATGACATTTTTACACTTAAATCGGTGCTTAAAATCGTTATCTCGCAGGTGTAATGCGCACGGCCACGCAATTGCGATTCAGCGCGACCGATAAGCTTCCACAATTAAACGTATCGACGTTTTCCCCCCCTGGCTGCTCCGATCGATCTTTTTTGTCTCTTTATTTTTAAACATTTACATCCGAGCAATTGTGCAAATTTCCACAATTTTTATTCCAACTCAGAGCTGGGAATTGGCACAAAGTCATATTTCACTTTTAGTAGTCATGGCGATTGTTCAAAACAGGCGCGAGAGAGAAAAGCACGGCTTCGATTGCGAAGGCACGTGACCGCGAAACGAAAGTACATGGCTGGATTGTCCGGGTTCGGAACATCAATAATGAACGCAAAGCAAACATTATTCGCTCCTCAATTTGTTTCACCGCGGGAAAGAAAGGAAGAAAGTGTAATTTTTCACGGGTCAATAATTCCTTTCAGTATTATTTCTAGCCATTTTACCGGAGGAAGAGTTTTTTGGTTTAATGAATTGAGGAAAGCATGTTTTGTGTTGCGGGAAAGTCTCTCAATATTGATCCTCGAACTTGTTGCGAGCCTCTCGAGCTCAAGTGTCAGGAAAATTGAAAATCGATATCGAGTCTTAAAACTGTTGAGAGCAGATTGATGTTGATTTCTTGATAACGCACTATCTCTGTGTGAAATCAAATTGTGGGTGTCTAGACTGTTTATACTGATTTTCAAGCGCTGCATAGGCACGATTGCGTCCAAACATGCAAAATGATCAAAAACTTTAAAGTATCGTTGTACAACTTCATAACTTGTTTGTTCCATTGAAGGAAAATTCTAAATTTAACCCCTGCCGCAGTTGTTTTATAAAAAGTTGAGAGGAGTAAAAAAGTCACATTTCAGACGAAGAGCGCGGTTGTTATTTTAATTAAATGCGGGCAGCTCTCGTGTATGCCATGCAGAGTAAATGAATGTGGAGTGGAATGCGAGGAAGAAATCACAGAAGGGTGTACCTCTTTAATGTCAAAAGCTGTCCGGGAATGTCAAAATTTCAACTGCTCAGAGCCCATCATAAAGCTTTGACGAATTCCATTTGCAAAATTTTAAATTATAATTTTCAATTTATTTTTAATATTATCAATACTTATTCTTTTCAGTCAGTATAAAACTCTAAAATTGTGAAATGAGAAAAAAATTTATTATTTTATTATTTTAAATTATTTTGTAAAAGTCTGCTAAAAAAAAAACACCCAACATCGCAGCAGTAAACCTACTCTATCACAAAAATTTGTCAAATGTTTAAAATAAATCTTAAAAAAATTATTTAAGTAATAAAATTTATAATTTTTATTCATTTAGTTTTCAATTTATTTTATATGTTAATGTAAATCAAATACAAAATATAAATCTAATTAAAAAAAAAAATTTTTTTTGATTGTATTTTTGTTATTGCATTTGTTACACATTTCAATATGAATCTTTAATTGAAACATTTGTAATTTAAAATTTGTATACAATTTCAGTGTTTTACTTTCTGATAGTTATTCAAAGAAAATATTACCGATTTACAGGTCTTTGTTACAACCACCGCAATTGCAGCAGTAATTAAAATCGTAAAAAGTAACGACTTCATTACAATTGCAGGCAGTTAAAATGTTAAACCGGCTGTAAACCGGCAGATCTGCGAATTAAATTTGATTAATTAAATGCACTAACGGCGGCGCGACGGCCAAATTAGGACAAACAAAACTGCCCTTCCGCTTGATCTTTTGAGTGGCGTCGCCATTTTTCACTTCTTTATTCATCTCGGAAAAGAAATTGGCGGCTCGCTGAAGCGGACGGAGAAAAAGTCGCCGGCCCGTTTTTCGGCGGTGCATACAAGCAAGGCCGCGCGTATTGATTAAGAAGACTTTCTCGCGTGTCGCCCACAATCAGTTGGGACCGCGTGACGTCACTCGTTGGCCAATCAAAAAGCGGTTTAATTGGTCCCTCGAAATCACTGAAAATTCCGGAGACTCTTTCAGAGACGAACAGGCAAAACCACAAAATGATTACGACTGTGGCCCAGCCGGCCGCCCGGTCAATTTCCTTAAAAGCGGTTTTATTATTCGTGTCTGTCTATTTTACGGCCGCGCGCACTCACTCAGTTTGCCGCAAATCAATACGGCAATCACAAAATATTTCATGCTGCAAACGACGAGTGGAGCTCGACCACATTGCCTCCTGCCAATCTTATCGACTCATTAA